ACTTTACAATAAGACTCCCTTTTACCAGTTATAAATGGTAGTAACTCATTAATAAATGTTCATTTATTTAACACTTTACAATAAGACTCCCTTTTACCAGTTATAAATGGTAGTAACTCATTAAGAAATGTTCATTTCTTTAACACTTTACAATAAGACTCCCTTTTACCAGTTATAAATGGTAGTAACTCATTAATAAATGGTAATTTGTTTAACACTTTACAATAAGACTCCCTTTTAGCAGTTATAAATGATAGTAACTCATTAATAAACGTTCATTTGTTTCACACTTTACAATAAGGCTCCCTTTTGGCAGTTATAAATGGTAGTAACTCATTAATAAATGAGTTATAAGAGATGCCAAGAAACATCAAGATGGAAGGGGGGGGAATCAACTCAGTGAACACCAGATACCAAGGATGCTGGCGAAGATGAAGAAGATGAAGTAAGCTAGGTAGCCAATATAAGGCTTAGTCATCTTGCCAAATAGTGAGCCTGTGTTGATGTGTTAGAACTGGTTTATAAATGGTTCTTAATGATTAATAAAGTGTTTACAACCTAATTAATAACCTATTTATAAGCCCTTTATGAATCCTTTATAAGGGTAGCCTTATAGTAAAGTGGTACCCTTTTTTGCTATGTTGCAAACTATTTTTAGAATTGATTTGTATAATATTTGCAATAATAAATATTTCATTTTCACTCTTGCCAAGTCTCCAAGGGGGGCAGAAGGGAGTTGTTCTAGATATTTTAAAATGCATTGAAAACATTGAAATTAGTGTTTATTTTCATGACATTATTGCACTACTTGAAAGAGGAAAAACAACAAGTCATTTAGGAAAAGTTTTAATTGTAAAAAACTGTTAAAAAAATCCATTGAAAACAACAGAAGTCACCCCCACCATCACATGTGCATCATCGTGGTCTGCACATGGAGCGGCTGCCCCTTCACCTCGGGGGGGAGAGCAGCTGCAGTGAGCAGGGAGAGCAGCTGCAGTCTGAACATCTGGAACATCTGCAGGCTCTTCTTCTTCACGTTCAGGTGAACCTTCAGGTCACTTCCTGCCGTCTCATCGTCTCCCTCTGTGGCCGCAGGGCCGTCATGGTCGGGGTCCGGGAAGAGCCGTCCGAGTGTCCTGGAGCAGAAAAAACCGTCAGTCTGGTTGTGGGCCAGTAAAAACAATCATAAATGAAATGTACTGTAATGGAGTCAGTAAAACTTGCTGCAGTTATGGCCTAGGTAATTTACTTTATTATAGTCACTTTTGTATTGGTCTTGGTGATTATTATGGTTTTTTATATAGAAGAGAGGTATGGCAACAACATGTTTTATTATGTTGACACTGGGGCCATAATTAAGCACTCCAATATCTAAATGATATTCCTGATAGTGAAGATAATTGAATCACTTATGCTATCATGCAGCTAAACCGTTCTTATTGTGTTTACAATGTATTTGTTTAAACTGCTAGCATTTGCCTTTTTACCTTTCTATTGATCCAAACTGTTTAAAAGTTCCATATACCTAGTGACATTAAGAAATTAAAGGAGTCGGCAACTTAACTGAGGGCTAAGCAAACAGTCACTCTCACATAGGTTCATGGTGAACAAATAGTTAACATTTTTTAGGAGTTTTCATAAAATACAGATCAAGGTTCCTCAGACTTTAAAGAAAAAGGTTGTAAAAGAAAACTTAGTGGGTTGAGTCCTTCTTTTTGAATTCACATAAAATATAAAAATTTCTCCTGAACTGTATCAATAACATGTAAAATAGTCCCTCTCAGTTCCGGCGTAGGGTTACATAAACATAAACAAAGAGTTCATATTTGTCCACTTGTGAAAGGTGGAGGAAGGACTGTTTAAGGAGGATATTCTGAAACTGACTGATGGAGTTAGTTGTTTTTCTCATAATTAAGAATCACTCCTCAAAACTTAAACTTCCTACCCACATTCTCAAATTGCAAATGCCAGACGTCATTAAGAAATGTGTTGATTTTAGATATTTTATAAGTTTTGAAAATGAAAATTACATTAAATGATCTGTCGATTAACCAGTCACAAATAACATGGGTAACCTCTAATTTTGGCAGATTATAAAGAAATTCACCAAAAAAAGAACACTTGTTATTTAAGAAAAGAAAAAATACGTTCTAGATAAACAACCGCCCACTTCAGAACGAACTGTTCCTTAAAGTGAGGAGTTGAACTTGGTTACAGTTCAAAAAGCCAGATTTGCTGAAGAATTGCTGATTCTGTTCAAGTATAGCACATTTAATGACTCAGCAACTTTACTAACAACAATAAAGACAGCCATTTCTTTATTCGGCGTAGCCTACATTTTAACAGGATTAAACAAAAAATAAACACTGTTTTGGAACAAACTCACTTCAGTATTCACTCCTTGGCTTTCTTCTCCGTGTTTTGGAGCTTCACCACGATTTTGCGCTCGTGTCCTGAAGGGCTGTGTCTGTTGGTGTTGTCACTGGCCTCCTTCTTTGTCCTGCCTTTACGGGCTGAGCTGTCTGCAGACAAAACACATGTAAAGTTTAATATTAACACAAGAAAATAGGGAAAAGTTTCAGGTGAGGTTAAGTTAACGTGACGTACAAAAAAAGAGCTCACCTGTGTATTTATCACTTAAATTGTAATATTCATATTCGTCGTAGTTCTCTTCCTCAAAGGTGGAGGGCTTCAGGTTGTTCACGTCAACGTGACTCATGTTTGTTTCTCTGGGAGAGAAAGAAAGTTTGTCAAACTGTAGAAAAACAAGAATGTAAAAGCTTTCCAAACTCAGACTTGATGTGGCAGAGTGCGGCTGTTCCTACAGAGGCTGTCTCTGGGACTTTTATACCGGACTCATGCAGCTCCTCCCCCGCAGGTTTCATCTTTCTGATGCAGAAATGTTGCATCAGATTATAAACTCAGACTCAGGAAAACATGGAGTTTATGATTTCCCTCATTTGTAAGGAAGAACACTGTTTATTAGATGAAGGTCTGTGCATCCATATTATCCAGCTGCTTCATTATTATCACACACATTACAGTCAACTGTTGCACTCATGGTCATCTTTTATGATTTAAACATATGTTATGGCATGATTGTTTTACAACAGAGACTGATGCCTTGATTTGTTTACTGTGATTCACAGCAAACAAATGCAAAAACTATACAAACCCTTTGCATAAATTGGACGTAGACCTACAAAAGTTTGAAAAAAAGCAGATCAGACAGCACAAGGTCTATACAATGTGTTTTCCAGGAACAAGAACCATCTGGGGAATAACTGTTATGTGTTGTTGTACGGTTCACACACACTGAGGATAAAATAACTTAAATGAGCTAGAGCATTTTCCAACATGATTCACCCACAAAATATGAAAATTAAATAAAGTACAAACGATGTGACGTGAACGATGAACGTTATGATTGTGCTTGATTATGTAATGTTCTGCTCTAAAAGAAGAAGAAAAAATGTCATCCATGTACAGTATATGAACTCTTGTTTTTTTTAATGTCCTACATTTGACTTTGACTTCATCTGAGATCAAAACAATATTATCAGCAGCTGCAGTCTTCACACTGTAGCCCTGCCCTCATTCAGTGTGTGTGTGTGTGTGTGTGTGTGTGTGTGTGTGTGTGTGTGTGTGTGTGTGTGTGTGTGTCTAATCCATGTCAAAGACCTCATGACACTTCCACCCAAAACAAACTTTGGACTGAGTTTATCATTCAGTGAAAGTACAGACAGAAAGTGTGTGTAAATACTATAGTGAACAATACGCAGATATTTAAACTTGCAACAAGCTAATCCCACTCTGAAGAAGGTTCTTTGCAAACAACTTTCTATTAGACACTAAAAATAACCAATCGGTACAATATAATTGTTTTAAAAATGATAATGCTCATCATTGGAACATACTGTATGTACTGTTTGTACTGATGAGAAAACAATATTTCATTTCAACAGTATTTGTTTTGGAGAAAAAATAATTGTATTTAAAAATTAAAATGCAAAAGAAGTGAACTGAACTGAATGCAGACGTTTTGCAACTCGTCTCAAATAGAAAACATTATGTGATATAGATCCGACAATGCATTTCCAACTCAAATGTACACTATTTTCTTGACTTCTCCCTCATTTTTGCTAATTTCCTGTAAATTAACGTTACATTTTTGCAACATCTCTCCTAAAAGGTTTAGGGGAGAGAATCAGAGTTTGTTTGTTTTAACTTAGAAAATGTTTCCTCGTGATGCTATAAACACAAACACAGGAAAACTTGGAGAAATAATGAGAGGCTCTGCATTCAAACTCATCCATATGTCATCACTCATCACTCTGTAATGATAGCCTGCACGTACTCCTTCATGAAGTGAAATACATGTTCACATGTTACAGTAAGAGCTCTCTGACTGTAGTGCTGAGCAGAGCTGACAAAGGTTCTGTTTTTGTATCTGTCCCTGGAGTATAAATATTAATGGATTCATTTACTTTAATGGATTTTACTTATTTATTTAATAATTTCATTATTTGCTATTATATGACCTTTCCTTTGTATATTTGTATTGTTTTGTATTTTTTTTTATTTTCTTTATTTCCCAAATGTGTTGTTTTTATTTATTTTATTCAACCATTTATTTTATTTAGTATATTTTTTTCTTTTTGTCAATTGTTTTTGTTTTGAGTAATCTATTTTTATTGTGTATTTTTATACTTTCCCTTTTTTATTTCTGTTATTGGCATCTTTAGTCCTCCAAATAATGCATAACCAAGTGGATAATTAACAGCTGACTGTTTTTGTAATAAAGTCACGAGGAAAGTATTTGCTGAGATGAAATCATCCTCTCGTGACTTTATTATTGACTCATACTGTCGTACAGTCCACTTCATAAACACACAGCAGCTGTTTCTGAATTTCTCCTGTAACAAAACATCTGACGAGACATTTAGTCATAAACATAGCCTTTATGAGGAGGAGGAGGAGGAGGAGGAGGAGGAGGAGGAGGATGTGTTTTACCACCGGACTGCCTCTATATTTCAGATGTTTTACGACCACACTGCAGCAGCTTTTGTTTTTCAGATTTCAGGATGTTTCCTCTGAGCTCCGGCTGTGTTTTTCTCTCCTCCTCCTTGTCCTCGTCTCACCTCCAGTATGTAAATATTTTCAGAAATATGAGCTGAGCTGTTACAGCATGGCTCAGTTTGGTCTGCAGGAACTCCTAAAACACACTGAGTGCAGACTGCAGTCTGTAGACCAGCTCACTGATAGCATATCAGCGGCGCTCTGTGAACCAGACTACATGCAAATAAAGAGAAGGTTATGTAAAGCATTGTGGACGTAAAACAAATATCCACAAAATAAATACTCACTTTACCCATTAAACACAGGCACACTGCTTTGTAATGCTCAAAATATTTGTATTATTGTGACTTCTTAAAAAATGCAATGTGTCTTCTTCAGGATCAAAACATGTTCACGATATCACAGATAGGCTACTATTCACAAAAACCAATGCATCAAACACCCTTAGTCAGGCATAATCAATTTTCTTTGCGTTGTCGGAGGGTATGAAAGTCAAAATGGAAATCTTCATGTTAAGTACAACCACCCTCTAACATTTTTAAGTGCATTAACATAACGATACAAAAATAAATAGTTATTGTGGGGGAAACTCCTGAAGCAATTGGAATCAGGACTCAAAGAGACACGAGGAGAGGTGGAGCTTTGACGGCAAACACTGACGGTTTATTTGGAGATACGGCCGGAGAATTGACAAGACAGGTGGTGTGTCACGAGTTGACACAGCGGTTGCCAAACGTATTCTGAAGAACTCTTCTGCAGCTCGAGGTTTTAACTAGTTCGGAGTGTAATAATCAACATTCTTTATCAGTGAGACTAAACAATTATGGACCCTCTATCTAACTAGAGCTATCGTCCATAAAAAAAAAATGCGCGCCAGAGAACCTTCGTCCCTGAACAGTAAACTACCTCAGGGTGGGTTGTGCTCTGTTATAGACTGACAACAACAATGCGCCCAAGCTGCTCCTCCTTAAGAGAGATAGCAGCAATACCCAACCCGTAGAACTATGCCATGGGAAAAGAGACAGTGAGAGGAGAAAAGGATGAACTGTGTCAAAGGTTGAATACCTAAGCAAATTATTCCCTAAAAGTTATAAATAAATAACAAGATGGAATAAAAAATTCTGGCATTTGAAGTCCCCTGAAAAAAAAAACAGTCCTATAAAAAAAATTAAAAATATGTATTTAACTATATTGATTTATTCATATATTTCTATTAATATGTTTGTATATCTTTTGCCTCATTTTTTATTTATTAAATTGACTTAAATGGCATTTGATATTTAACATCAGTACAGTGGTTTGTTATGGATATTTGTATACATGTCCAGACAGCTCAGTCTCTCCAAAGTCATTCAGTTTATGTGTGCTTATAAAGATGTGTTTTGCTGAGGTGTATAATGATTAACTTCTAATTCACAAACACAACGCATTTAGTTTTAGGGCATCGTACCACCACAGCAGATATTAATCATTCATTCTCAGCATGTTTTTCTGCAGTGTGATGATAACTCTTTGTACATGACTTCTGGCCAAAGTACCATCAACACATGCAACACAAAGCTTCAAAATGACTTGAGTTCATTCTACAAGCTAATTTCTGGTCATCAGGAAGGCTGCAGGTGAAATGTATTGAATAGTATATATATGTTGTACCATTTCTAGATTATAAAAATACTCCTTTACAAGTATAACTGCTACAATCAAGATATTAGGGTTCATTAAATAAAGGTACAACAGTAGTTTCTTCATCAAATCAATTCACTTATTTTATCTGCATATCGAATTATAGGATTAAATATAATACTTAACCAAAATGTCACAGTGATGGCAAACATGTATGTTTTTATATAAGAACTTCAAGGCATTTATTTAAAAAGCACATTAAAAAAGGTAATTCAAAGGGCTTTACAAAAATTATTGAATGCATCTAGATAAAATATACACATTATGAAATTATATTTTAATACAAGTTTACATTCCCAAGGTCAAATAATTATTGTTATGCTGAGTTGGAGGAATTATGTATCACTATATTAGCCTATATTTTGTCATTTTAATCTGAATCTGCAGAGTAGATTAAACTGTCAGATGAATGTTCTTCAATAAAAGGAGTAGGAGTATAAAGTTGCATACAAATAGTAATACTGAGGTTTAGTACAAGCACCTCAAAAATGTACCAGCAACAAACATATGTCAAACCTGCAGTTCCCCCTTCCGGCCATCCGGTGGCGGTATGTGAAGCTGGTTCGCATTTACAACACCAACGAAGAAGAAGAAGCTAATCTGTAGTGTTAGCAAACTTACAATAAATAAACAGAAAAACTAACACGGTAGGTAATGTTTCATATTGTGTGACGAAAAAGATCAAACATTGTGTATTTTAAGGTATCCAAGCGGAAATATGTACATCTAACGTTTTCGTTGAGTGAGCATAAATCTCACGGTTTAGCAACCTGGCTAACATTTGCTAAACATATCACTTGCTAACCCAATCGAGCAGCAACATTTAGTCATACAATTGCTTTAACGTCACGTTTCTTATTAAAGGTAATGTCAGCATTTCAACCAGGTTTACCAAAGCATTTAGTTTCAATATTTCTCTCAGTCTAAACGCACAATTCTATTTGTGTCGCTTTAGCGTCATTACGAGCCATGTTTCTTCACAATAAGAGCTTGTACTAAACCTCGTTAAGAAATTCGTCAATTTTGAGATACATTTTTATGTATGAGACATAAAAACACAGCAACATATTATTTGAAACTGGAATTATACACTTTTTTATTCGGCTTCCGTTTCATGTACTTTAACTTTTTAATGTAATGTTCATATTACAATAAAATGTGTTCTGGTCTAACTGCCTTCTGTCAGAAGTTCCTTTAAAATTACAGATTTTCTCATAGAGTTTTGTGTGTATCCACACTTTTTTAAAGATCATTTAAAACCGAACTAAACAGAAATATAATTTCACCTTGTTATTCAGGAGACAGAAAAATAGTAGACCATTTTTTTAAACAGCTTCAATATACAGTTAAAATCTACTACTACACAATCTGTTCTGGTCCAATTAACTGCCTCCTGTTATTTTTTAAAACATGCTGTACTGGTTTCGTTGAAATTACAGATATTTTAGATGCCGTTAAATGCTGGAACTTTTATACATTTCATCAGTTAACACCGAACTCCATTCAGAAATCGACCAATTCAGAAATGCATTTTTATTAAGGAGACACCAAACATACATTATCTAAAACTGGTTTGATTCACATTTGATTCACATTTTTACTCGGCTTCAATTCAATTTACTGTACCTTTTCAATATAATGATAACATTTCACTTTTTTTTCTGGTCCAACTGCCATGGCCGTTTCCGTTAAAATGACAGATTTCTTAATGGGGTTTTGTGTGAATTAACGCTGTGCTAACAAGACTCTTATCTGTAAAATATCGAAGGTAGCAAAATGTCAGCGGATACTAAGATTGCCGAGCTGCTCACAGAGCTCCATCAGCTCATCAAACAGACCCAGGTAAGTCAGTGACATTGATTAATAGTTAATACACTCTGATTAAGGTACGAAATGTTAGTAATCATGCTTAAAGTTAACCAAATCTAAATAATAATGTCTTAAGGAGGAGAGGTCACGCAGTGAACATAATCTGCTCAACATTCAGAAAACACATGAGAGGATGCAGACGGAAAACAAAAGTCAGTCGCCACATCATCACAAACTTCACTTCCACAACACCGAGACATTTATTTGATTTTCATTTTTTTTTTCAACTAGTTGGTTAGTTGCTGATTCAAACCAACATTATTGACTTGTCTCCTTCAGCTTCTCCATATTACCGCACCAAGCTCAGAGGACTGTACACCACAGCCAAAGCAGATGCTGAGGCAGAGTGCAGGTGAGCGGACACCTAACACCATGCACTTTATTAACGTTCATTATATCATTATAACATAGTTGAAGCCATAAATCGCAAACATAGAAAATACATATAAAGTATAATTTCTTAGTATTCTACAAAGGATCCAGTTAATGCAGACTGTTTATTGATGGCAACAACAAAAAAAAATATATCTTGTTTTGCATGCTATCCTTGGTTACATTTTCCCACGCACAATGTGTTCAAGGACCATCAGAAATCTTCAAACCAGACTGTCACTTGTATGTTGTTTCTTCTGTGTAGCACTACATTTGGCCTGTGATGAATATTGTAGCTTTTAATGGATTCTAGAAACCATATTTAGTTTTAACTCAATCTTTTTTATTTCTCACAGCATTCTGCGTCATGCTCTCGATAAAATTGCAGAGATCAAGTCGTTGTTGGAGGAGAGGAGAATAGGTGTGTAACAAAGATATGCAGTAATAAAATATAACTGAAGCTTGGAAACAAAAATATAACTACGTTGTGATGTCCTAATTTAGGTTTAAGTTGGTAATGTTTTAAAGAGAGTTTATGATTTACATTTAAAGCCACTAATGGAGTTGAAATGTTTGCACGCAGCTGCTAAGATGGCGGGGGTGTACAGCGACAGCGACCCTCCCAGGAAGACGATGCGGCGCGGCGTCCTGATGACGCTCCTCCAGCAGTCTGCCATGACGCTCCCACTGTGGATCGGCAAGCCGGGGGAGAGGTAGGAGGGGATTACATGCTGATTTCCTGTTTTCTTTACAAAGCTACCGGATCATAATCAAATAGGCTTCATTCTGCTGACCAAATGTTCAATATTTGTCCAGGCAAAAAGACACTGCACAGTAAGGCTTTTCTCACAGATGGAAGATATTTTCACGCCAGTCTATAGAGATGCTGCTCTGCACACACACTAACTACTTGCTAAGATAAGTTGTGGATAAAACTCTTCTCATTGTTGCTCTCTGTGGATAGCAGAGACTATGTGGCACAAAGAGACCCTAACTACCTCAAAGAGGCATAAAACCGACTTAAGGAGACACAAAACGACTTCAAAGGGACATGAAATTACTTCAAAGAGACATAAAACTGTACAAAGAGACATAAAACAACTCATACATTAGACAACTTAAAAATATATATAAAAATACTTCAAAGAGACGTAAAATGACTTCAAAGAGACACAACACTATCAAAAGGAGACTTGAAAGACTGGAGTGACACAAAATGATTTCAAAGAGACCTAAAATGACTTCAAAGAGATACAAATTGACACAGTTGACAAAAGGACTACAAAGGGAAATTAAATGACGATGGTAGATATCTAAATGTCACTGTCTAGAGATGCTGCTCTGCACACTCACTCACAGCATTCTGAATAAGTTGTGCACTAACCTCATTATTGCTCTCTGTGTCAGCCCGCCCCCTCTGTGCGGGGCGACCCCTGCCAGCAGCGATTACGTGGCCAAACAGGGCGACAAGGTGGCGGCGAGGGTGAAGGCCGTGGACGGAGACGAGCAGTGGATCCTCGCCGAGGTAGTCAGCTACAACCACTCCACCAACAAGTGAGAAACTCATCAAATGCTGATTATGTACCATCACATTATTAGACATTAAAATGTACTCATAATGCAGATTGGCGTCTTTCAGTGTTTTACTATTACATTATTTGTAAGTGGTAATATATTGTAGGGCTGCAACTGACAGTTATATTCATTATGGAATATTTCCCCCTGATTTTATTTATAAATAGATGGTTTTTTCTATACAATGTCAGGAACTTGTGAAAACAATCCATCCCATTTTCTTATATTCCAAGATGATTTGTTTAAATATCTTATGTTGCCAATCAGTCCAAAACACACAAATATTTACTTTAATATGATGTAAAACTGAAAAAGCAAAAGACTATCTATATTTGAGAGGATTAAAAGAGCATTTCTTTCATGAGAATGACTGTAATCGATTTTAAAGCAGCTATTGTTGCAGCTTTATGGACATTGGTTAAGGTTTGAACTGCTTATTATAGCAGTTTAATCTGTAGCAATGGATTATATGAGTAATCGTATACTTGTAGATTTACTTACTGATAAATGTAGGGGGATAAAATGATGATGCTTAATTCATCTCAAACATCTACAGGTATGAAGTGGACGACATCGATGAAGAAGGCAAAGAGTGAGTTTACATTTACCGTCTCTAATACGTAATATTATTATAACTTATATTATAAACCTCATGCAGTGTTCTTGTTCTACAGTCTTCTCTCTTACCTTTATCCGTTTCTACTTCTCTTTATATTTGAATCCTCAATTCAAACCATCTTCAATCTTTTTCCTTAAATCTCTTTTTTCTCATGTTTGTTTTTTGAGTCTTTGTCCTCTCATTCATGTTAAGGCTTATATCTTTTTAAATACAGGCCTTGTATTATTACATTACCATGTTGTTCTTCCTCTGAAATGTTGGTTAAAAGTCAACATTACCAGGTAAAGAGAGTCAAATAAATATTCTGCTCCTCTCCTTTCTCAAATGTTTGATTCTAGACAGGTGCTAAAATGTTTTTGTTCAAATTGTTTTTTGACCTCCACATAAAAGGGAGCAAGGTGCAAATCCTTTCATTAGAGAAGCTGGGGCAAGACACTGTTTTTACTTACAAATAGCAACTATTGAAACAATCAAGCCATTGTAGAAAACAGCTGATTATCTGAGGATTGCCGAGTTGATTAATAATAATAATGAATACGCAGCTTGATAAATATTCGTCATTTTTGTTGAGAGTCCAAAAGTAAATCTATTGTCGCACCGTATGTGTATCCATTAGTAATCAATAAAAAGGATTTTGGGAGAATCTGTATTATCTGTGTCCAGTTTCCCAAACAGACTTTATGTTTCTGAAATGTGTGTGTGTGTGTGTGTGTGTGTGTGTGTGTGTGTGTGTGTGTGTGTGTGTGTGTGTGTGTGTGTGTGTGTGTGTGTGTGTGTGTGTGTGTGTGTGTGTGTGTGTGTGTGTGTGTGTGTGTGTGTGTGTGTGTGTGTGTGTGATCAGGAGACACACTCTGAGCAGACGGAGGATCATCCCTCTGCCTCAGTGGAAGGCCAACCCGGAGACGGACCCAGAGGCTCTGTTCAGTAAGGACCAGCTGGTGCTGGCCCTCTACCCCCAGACCACCTGCTTCTACAGGGCCCTCATTCACACCCCCCCACACAGGGTAAGACTCAAAGCTGTGGTATTATTCGCAAAGGGTTAACATATGAAGCCAAAGTTAGGTCATTAATATAGAGAAATATTTGCCAAAATTGTCAGCATGACTATGGAAACCCAGTATTCATGTTAAATAAATGTTTTACTGGGAACATGGAAGGATTACTGAACTTCAAAAGGACACGAAAAGAACCAACAACGACAGAGACAAAGAGCAGCTGCAAGAGACTAAAAATGACCACAAAGACATTCAAAATGACCACAAAAAGACACCTTTAGACACAAAACAATTACAAAGAAACACATAACGACTACAAAGAGACACAATATAGATAGAATCGGAGGGATGAAACCCTCTTTAATGGTCACACATGCAGAGCACACACAGTGAAATTTGGCCTCTTCATTTAACCCATCCTAGTACTAGGAGCAGTAGGCAGCTATTGTACAGCGCCCGAGGAGCAATGGGGGTGGGGGGGTGTCCAGTGCTTTGCTCAAGAGCACCACCGCAGGGCAGGAGGTGAACTGGGACCTCTCCAAGTAGCAGTCCACACTCCATATTTAGGTCTGGTCAGGGACTTGAACCGGCGACCCTACGGCTCACAGTCCAAGCCCCCACTGACTGATCCATTGCCGGACAATATGACCACAAAGAAACACATAACGACTACAAAGAGACATAAAACTATTTCAAATACACAAACTAGTACAAAAAGATGCAAAACTACTACTACTGTCCTCACGACAGTAAAGCTCCAGGTACTAATCCTGCAGAGTTCACTCTCATTAGTCACATCCAGAATAGAAACCTCTGAATTATGGGTCTTTTTGTTTCATACATGTAGCTTCTTCTCACTAAAAAGACTCATTGTGTGAAAAGCTCCTCACCCAGCGAGCAGACTGTCCCCCGGCTGTCGGGCCCCCACACTGACCTCTGTGTGTTTGTTCGCAGCCTCAAGACGACTACTCGGTGCTGTTCGAGGACACGTCGTACGCAGACGGCTACTCCCCCCCGCTCAACGTGGCTCAGAGATATGTGGTCGCCTGCAAAGAGAACAAGAAGAAGTGACCAGCGACGGGAAATCACAGATGATTTCTATTTTTGTAGGAAAAGATGCTCGGAAATATTTGTCTAAAAAATCGAAATAGGCCCTTGGAGCAGATTCACCAGGTCATAAAACACCTGAACAGACATTTTAATACTTGTCATCTTTTTAATGAGACTGTCAATATCAGCACCAAGACCTTGAGGAGTGAACCTGAACGTCTCATCGGGAAAAAATTTAACTGTGTCCTAAATTTATACTGGATACTGTAGTCGTGTGTTCACAGGGGAAAAATGACGAATAAAGTATTAAAATCTGTCTATACTGACTTTTAAGTGTGCTGTTGACACACCATTTTCCCACAGAATACAAATAAAAGAAGATGGAGGGGATAAACACATCAGACGCCCGCTTCCATTAAAGCTGACCTCCTTCACTTGCTTGTGTAAAACTGCTTTGTGTTTATTTATTTTGTAATTATTGCAGTAACCAAATGAAATGTATATTACTGTATGCATAATACATTTGGACACAGAAGTTGTATTTTATTTGGACCTTTTTCCCAGCCAGGAGCAGCATCTAGTGGCCAGTAAAGGAACGTTTTACTCATAAACCTGCGTCGGTTGATCTCCCTTTGAGAGCCTAAACTGTTTATTTTGTAACTGTAAAGAGTGGATAATTGTTGTGTGAAACAGAAACAACAATGTTTTCATGCGTCACTGCTTTGTGTCTTATTGTCCATGTTTTATTTTTAATATTCTATCCAATATTTCTAGTCCACTACATTTATCTGGCAGCTTCAGTTACTTCACACATTTAGATTTCTACACACTAAATGTAGGAATAGTTTATTAATGTCTAAACCTTTTTTAACTCATACAAAACCAGCTGTCATGACAAAAACGGAGACAACACCATGATTTAAGTTTAAACAATATTGTATTTAGCAATTTAAATATACAGATGGGATGTGATAATCAGCAATCAGTAGCTGTGTGTGATGAGCATGAGTGAAGAGTGTGGGTGTCAATGTTGTGAAGTGCAAAAGGGTAAACCAACAAAACCAAAGTCTGTCTGTCACGGCTGCCAGGTGTGAGGAGAGCTGAGTTTGATTAATTGTTACCTGCAGGGGAGAGGCAGAGACACTCAATGATTTCCCCCACGGGGACATCACAGCTGAATATATTTGTCATTTGACAGATGATTCATGTGACACAATGACGTTTGAAGTTATTTTTCATGTAAAAATAAACAATGTAATGTAAATATATGCAGCTTTTTCTTTTATAACGTAAACGATGAAAAAACTGAATCACAGTATTTGAGTAAATGTACAGCATTACTTTCCACCACTGCTAAATAAAATAAAATATTAATAACAGATATTTTCCATTGTACCTGAACGCAACGTGGAAAATCCGCTATTGATTTAGTAATATCCCACGCTACCTAAAGGCAACAACAACGCGCGGAAAAAAAGAAACATGGCAGAAATGGTGAGCGGTTGCTTCTTTTTATCGCTTTAAAAACACTTTCTCGCTGAATAATGTCGACATAAACAAGTGTAATGTCGCTGTTATCCAAGTCGCTTCTAGGGAAAAATTAACTAGTCAGGTGTGAAGCTAAAGAAACAGATTAAAGTACATCCAAAGTGTTGTCGCAGGTTAGCTAACCTTGTTTAGGTTTTTCAAAATAAAAGTCTACAACGTACGTTTTGTATAATGGATCCTCTACCTGCCTCCATGCTTTCGGTTTTACTTTCTGTTTTATACAATAGTGAATATTAAACTACCAATGTAACCACTCTTAACATAACTTAACCCTGTGTGAATATATTTTAGAAACTGTAGATATCAATCATAGTCCCGATTAAAAAAATCGTAACTTGGACCTAGCTAACAACCAGATTTTGAATATAGGACTTTTACCTGTGACCAGTGCTTGAATTGGGCCGGTACTCACCGGTACGCAGTACCGGTGTTGTGTCAAATTATGCACCCCCGTCGTGAAATGCACCCCCTGGCCTGCCGTAAAAAGCAGCCCCCTTGTTTTTAATGTAAAAGGTTCATAAAATAAAATGGGGTGGCTGTGGCTCAGTGGGAAGTGTGCTAGACTTCGAACCAGGAGTCCCACTGCAGTCAGCATGTCGTTGTGTCCCTGGGCAAGACACTTCACCCCAAATTGCTCCTGTGGGGATTGTCCACAGTATTGAGTAGGTAAGTCGCTTTGGATAAAATTGCTAACAAGTGACATGTCATTTAATGTAACATACGACTCCCTCTATCCCAACGTTTCTCAAAGTGTGGGGCGCGCCCCACTGGTGGGGCGCAGAGATGTGATAAGTGGGTCGCGAATGGACGCGATGAACGGGAGATTATTTTTTATTTATTTGTTTTTTAACCTGTTCTACACTGCAACCCCGGAAAAACGCGTCATCTGCAGGAAACAGCGTCTGAGGGCATCTTAATATTCAATAAACTATGAATGTTTTATATCCATGTAACGGGAAGAAACTCAGCTAACTGATCTTTTTTTGTTTTTATTTTTTGCAAAAAAAAAACAAAGCTAACGCTGAGCCTCTGAATTAGCCCCAAGCGAAAATATGCTAAGGCTGTTTGGACATAAAACATGGTAAAATAT